CCAATAACGCTCCCACGGCCTCGAAGCCTCTGAGAATCCTGTTCTGCGGCTCTGATAGTTTTAGCTGTGAATCTCTTCGTTGTTTGGCGAAAGAAAACCGAAAATTCCCCGGAGAAATCGCTTCTATCGATGTTCTTATTCGACCAGGCAAACCGCATGGGAGAAAGTTGATGGAAATCCGTGAAGGTAATTTTGAACCCCACCAATAATTCTTCGTTATCATATTGAATCTTGCCAGTTCCATTGAAGCACGTGGCCGAAGAATTGGGTCTTCCTATACATGAGAGAGATACATTCACCGGATGGGATGTAAGTTTTGACTGATGGGCATAGTCTTGCTTCCTCAGAGGCGTTGGCTGATCGAATCTCCAGCTACCGAAACCAGATGGAGAATCAATCAATCTTATAGTAGCAGTTTCATTTGGCCTCTTCGTGCCACCACGTATCCTCAATAGTGTTGAATATGGTGGAATTAACGTTCATCCTTCCCTCTTGCCACAGTAATGTCTTCTAACATTGACTTCTCGCATCGAGACTGATCAGAATGTTTAGATACCGAGGAGCTGCTCCAATTCACCACACTATCATGAACGGGGACACAGTTACTGGCGTCACACTTCAAACTTTAGATCCACACAAATTTGATAATGGTACTATCCTCAGTCAAGAAGCCTTTCCCGTTCCACAACCAGACACAATCAATTTCCAAGGCCTCTTGGATTTCATCACGCCAAAGGCGGCGAATTTACTCGTTCAGGGAATCAGAGATCGAGTCTTCATGAATCCAGACGCTATTCAATTGATCAAACCTGCGCCCAAGATTAAACCTATTGATAGATACATCGACTTTGAGAAAGGAATATCTATTGACGTTGAACGAAGATACCGGGCACTTGGACGACTCTGGTGCTATACTCGTACTTGGTGGTCTGCTAAAGCTAAGAAAAGGACAATATTCAAAGATTTCGAAGTTGTAACATTGTCAAAGAAGCCTATAGTTCCAGAATCCCAGTTACAACGAGTGTACAGAGCTTTTCCAAAGTGGGAGTTTCTCTGCATTCCTGTGTATCCAGATCCCGTTTATCCAGGATCTATAACCATTCCAACAGTCGAAAATGGAGTTGGGCTTCGAGTTAAACAGATTCTCGTTGAAGGTCAGGTAGCGGGTTCGGCCATCGATGCCATGCATAAAGTATCGAAACTCACCAAAGATGAAAATCATGAAGGTGCTATGTTCATGGCTGTAGCGTTGACAGATTTCTCGGAGGATGGTTCACAAGTTGTTCTGCGCCATGACAAAGGCGTTGTATACGAGGAAAAGCATCTGGATTCTTCTCAGACGTTAAAGATCAACCAGGCACGCCTCATTTATCATAGAGAACCATAGTTATAAGGACTGAAGGTTAATTATGTAGATGTATTATACGAGAACAATAACTCAAGCAAAAAGAAAGTTAATCTAGTGGTATGTAGTGTATCAGCTCTGATTTCTTACGTGGAGGATAGTGATTTGGCCCGTGTATGATAGGATATGGTTTATCTTTATGGCACCATTAGAGGCGAAATACTTCATTGCTAAGGTTGAGAGAATGAACGATGGCTCAACTCGTGCTTCGTTGCCCAAATGAGACAGAAGAGCTATTAATACATAATTGTATAGTCCAGAGCTGAGTTCATATTAATGGCTGGAAGTAATAGCAAAAAAATTCGAGCTTTGAAACAAGGGAGGATAGTTGGACGATGCACACGGCATGGGTGTAAATATGTGGCTATGCTACTATTGATAACAAAGGGAACGATTCCATCTTGTATAAAATCGGCTGTAGGGATACAAAGCATTCAACTTTCATGATGAGCAAGGAGAATGATTGACATATATGATATTGTTCAGAGATGGGATCGTACTATTCATTGTTGAAAGTAAGAGCAGTCATTCCAGCTGTATATAATCAGCAGTAGAAATAAAATGCGCTAGAGATTTAAAAGCAGGAACGAGAATGGCCGCTATATATAATATAGCTTTGAGATAAGATATTTATATTCGTCAGAACGAGAGTAATGATTCAATTCGAGTCTAATAGGCGCTAGAAATGCGACATCTAGATTATTCAAAAGAAAAGAGAATAATAATAGATTTATTTAAATACATTAAGTAATAGAATATTCGAAAAACGAGAAGATATACTCGACTAAATAATCCAAAACGCATCGTAAAAAACTTGAATTTTCAAAGAGTAGTAAGGGGTAAAAGCCTAAAAATAAGCGAATTCGTTTGAAGAATGATCTTGCACATTTTGTACCTTAGCCTAGCTGTTCAAGACGGTACCCTACTGATTCTAGGACCTAGTAAGGAACTACTGAGCACGAAGCATCACCCACAGCTTCCCCCGTTCCCAGTTACGAGACCATCAGAATGATGGAAAATGCAGCGAGACAAGGCGTAGTACCGCATGCTATAATCCAGAGACGATAAGGCGAATGCGAGAACGGAAGCGCGGCAACGATCAATGGAAAGAAGAGATATGATGCCTATTATTCTCTCATATATTTAAGAGCCTCATTGATTGGTGCCCATTGAGCTGCCTTTCTCTTCAGCTCTATTGAACGGGACCACCTATTGACATGTTGTTTGAACACTTGAGCATCGAAGCCCATCTCCTGAAGCTCGAGCGCCGTAGGCTCCTTGTATCCCTCCAGAACAATATCGCTAACCGCCGATACTTCTCTGCCCAGGTCGAGTTCCATTCCCAACCAGTAATGCCCTAACGGAGCCCCACTGGTCGCTCGCTCAATGGCACGCGCAGCTACTTGCCAATAATTGCAGTGACAAGCCCGCCTAACGTTCTCTTCGTCTTCCGTATACATATGATACAACTTTTCCATAGCATGTATCATTTCATGGGCCAAGGTACCCAGCATTCTAATCATGACTTCGGCAAAGACCTCGTCAATATCCCCCGTGCGTATATCCTTGATATATATCGTTGTTGTCCTGAAGTAGCCACTGTCGACGTGACTAGTAATCCCCAAGTTATCACCCAGACTAACCTCGTTTCCCTGAGCATTGTCGGAGACGAGCTCGAGTTTGAAGATATTCTTCCATTCGTCATCGGCAAATTCCGTAACAATGGAATCCTTGATCATGCCCCCAAAGAAGACCTCGTTGAAGAACTCGAAGTAGTCTTTAAGGACGACCACGGCGGGCAGGTTACCTTGAACGAGGACCTGAGACAGTCGCAAAGCAGTATCCCTGTAGTTCAGTGCGAAGCTGCTACCCCTCTCTTCCGTATGACGGACAATCATCTCAGATATATCGGCCACGGTGTGAGATGCCGGCTTTAGTATATAAGGCGCCGCAGGATTTCCAGTGTAAACAATTGGCTCGGCAGGCTCTGGTGCTCGATGACCAGGGTTTTCTGGTGGAAGAACAGGATATTTCTCGTCCCATGGACCTCCAGGCCCAGAATTTACCCATTGGTTACCCATCTTCGCTGTAGTTGTGGTATCGCCTGGTAAGATTGTAGGAGGATTCGTGGTACGTTTGTAGCAGACCTAGATACTTTCGAGTTAGTAGAGGGTCTGCAAAAGCTTCAAACTAACGGATATCTGCTCAAAGGAGATAGACTCGGGTCTTTTCGTACCAATTGAATGATAGCTAGGCGATTTCGGTGCAAATTCAGAGTATTTGCGTGCAAAACTGATGAATTTCGAGAAATTAATCAATTGTGCACTTATCTTCGAGTTTAATTACAAGAGATTTACGAGAATTGACTAATAGTCTATGGAAACGTTTTCAAGGCTACAAATTGAACACCTGCATGCTTAAATCCACTTTTCTGTTTTTCATCATGATGCATTGCCCTTCAGCCGTTCTTGGGCTGTCTTTAAGGGTGGCTGGGGCTACATCGTTTGTTTTTGGACTAGGATTGCTCTTATTGTGATTAGAACAATCCAGTTACTATTCATTGGAGGCTTTCTATTATAATTACGTGGTTTAGATATGTCATTGAGCTGTCGTCTATTAACCGAGGGTGTAACATCTTGTTAGCTTTCTCTCGCATAAATACCAAAGTCACCTCAAACTTTTGAACTACTTCAAATATTCTTCCGAATGCATCCACTACAGTGCCTGTTTGTGTATACTTAAAATATACTCACTCGCTCTCTTGTGATAAACCTTTATGATAATCTCAGGCTCAGAGCATTGTCTCTACTCTTACCTCAGCTACAGTTTCAGACAAGAAGGCGACTAAAACCCTTCTGCGCTTGCTTTGATACATAAATTGGAGCGTACTACTCTGATAGATTTGCTTTCAGAATTTATAGGATGATGGCAAGCTAAGAAGATGGGTTTGTTTCTGATGGTAGCGCCTCGATATTCGGGATGAGCATTCATCCACTCACCAACTCGGAAGTGAAGATCAGGGTCACTCCTCCCAAGCAAGAATTGAATATCATCGAAAATACTAAACCGACCAAGAACACGAAAATATGATTCAGCTGTAGGAAATTCGGATCACTGGGTGTAAGCAGGCATCGTACCATCGATGCATGAATGGGGAAAACTCAACACCTGCCTGTCCTTGAGATTTGCAGTGAGTACAAGAGATTAAATTCGATTCTTACTTCTTACTTACGCAATACCTTGCATGTTTTACCATATTTAGCATTTCCATACATAAGTTTCGAGGTTCTCCGCGACGGCATATGCTGGCAGTTGGATGCATCATGATGGTAATTTCTGCTCGAGACCTTATAATGAAAAGTTGACAGCTCTAACATAGTAGACAAATTTATGATTCGGGAACATATAGTATATACAAGAGATGATTATAAATAGTTCCGAGTTGGGCTATATGTGCGCCGAGGTTACTTGGTACCCTTTTATAGCTGGGTCAACCACAACATTGGAGGAACGAGTGAGTGCACCTTCCTAGACAGCTCATCTAACACACCTTCATATACCATGCTGCTGCCACTTCACCAAAACAAGAAGACATGGGACTGTAGCTTAGTGGTAAAGCAGACAACTAGGGTGCATATTGGGGTATCTATGCAACCTAGTGAAATGATCGGTGGTTCGAATCCACCCAGTTCCATATATTTTGCTCTTTTGTTATCACCCACGGGTGATATGAGAGGATCAAGATAAAAGTATAGAACTTCAACAGTCCTAATAATTTTGTCTTCGTAGCTGCTTTGTGATTGACTATTGAACCCGACGTGCAAGGTAAAGGGGGGTTCTTACTTCTGAAAAGACATCATAGTTTACTTCACCATGCAAGCTCGGCCTTTGTATATCAAAATATCACTATTACATCAAAAGAAATTATACAAGGGCTGTAGCTTAGTGGTAAAGAAATTCAGCTGATGCGTATCGAGGATATTGCTCCCCCGGGCACATCTAATGACATATGCAAATGATTCTGTAATAAGATCGGTGGTTCGAACTTCAGAAATGATCTGTCATTATCAGCCAATATTTCCATGGAGAGTTGCGTAATTAAACCTAACGCAAGAGGTGCGATTGGAAACAGGGGAAGTGGACAAGGAAGCGGGCAACCAACATTGCTGGCCAACATGCAACTGAGATTATCGTACCATTGCTTATTGATGGTTTAGCGTTTGTGGTAAAAGGTGCATAAACTAACAGAAGAGAAGCAGTTGGAAATTTAGGAAAGTGCTCAAGGTGGTAAATACCATACTTAGTATCAAGACAACACGAAGAACTGAATGAGATGCATTCATGCATTCATGCATTCGTGCCATCATATAATCGCGAAGGAAGTTAGTAGCCCCCTTCTTTCCGTCAAGCCTGGTTGAGATAGAAACGTGAATACTTTGCATGGATTTCTTGAGCACTGAGCCACACTCTTGTGGGTAGCTCTCCCTTATCATTCAATATGATATCATTCTTTCATCGATACAATATTTCTGCTACTCAACATTACCGCACAGATCTTGCACCTTTGAACATCTGAGAGCTATCCGTCGGCCCCAAAACAATTTGCTCTAACTCAGAATTTTCGCAGTGTTCCTGTAGCTCACTATAACTTCCATATAAACATGCTCTTTCGCTCTTCGCTCTTCGCTCTTTTGGTCAACTCGTCCATCGTCTCCGCACCCCTAAATGTATGTCCAACCATCAGTCCCCTGGAAAGAACAGCAAGCGAGCTAGATTTCTAAGCAGGAGTTCCACGCATCCTGGTCTGGTAAATTGTGAGAGCGGTGAAGACAACAGCGGCAATTATGAAGACGCAGTGCAGGGATATCCATTTCCATTCAATCTTATAAAAAGTGACCATTTCGTGATTTGTAGCTGTTTCCAGTTTTCCACCGTCATCGTTAGCTCGGATAGAGTTGCTCATGCTTTTTGCAAGAGATTCAAACGTAGCCGGGAGATCATTGCTGGTGTTAAAGGCCTGCATGGAGCTGGGCTTGAATTGAAGATTGTTATCGGACATGATGTACCCATTCAATCTTGCCTGTTGTGTTGCAGTTAAATCGTGTGTAATGTTTATGTTGGTAGAGAACAGGTCGCCGATGTAGCTACTAATGCTATTAACAGCTACCTGTGAGACATTGTATTTTTTGCCCAGAGATAAATTGGATCGAGGTGCTGCGGGTAATTTGTTGTTGAACTCGAGACTCGATAAAATGGATGAATTCAGAACGTCAGCCCACTTCGAGCTTGTGACCTGCCATGAATCGGGATCTCGCCTTGCACTCGTGAGTTCAGAGATTTCTTCTGATAGGGTGCCGTTCGCAATCTTTGACTCATAACGATTCACACAATAGTATAGACCGCATTCTCTAACCTCAAGAGGCAAATCTGGCCAGACCACGGAGGAGTTCTGTGGTGGGTGTACTTTGAAAAAAGTCATTGCCCAGATTATAAAACAGCCGACTGCATGGCAAAATCTGCGTCCACGAAAGTCTGCGCAGCGAATGGGTTCTCTGATTTGGGTCAGCTGATTTGGATTCGTGTTTTAAGCTTGGAAAGTATCTGTTCTACCTGAGACTATTACGTCCTGATTATTGAACAGTCGGCCTTTCGAGTAACCCTGGTGAGATTAGCAGCTTTATCTAATTTTGATCCATAGTCTGCTACACCGTTGTCTATTATTGGCGTTGAATACCAAAGGTACCAAGCAAGCAGCCCTGGTTGCTTGAGATCCGCAATCATGATGGGCACTTTGTACGTAAGTCTGTTGGTCTTACAAATTGAATATGAGGGGGTGTGGTGGTGGTGGTGGTGCATTTTAGGAAAAGCTAAGGTTAAGGTTGTGCAGCTTATGTAAGTTTGACAACATCTTCCCACTGCGGCTGAGATAGGCATCGAGATAATGATCTTTACCTGGTATTGTTCATTTTGTAACAGACTGCCACATACGACCATAGACTAAGGAGAATTGGGCATCCCGTCCGCTCTGCCATACACAAGCCTTAGATCGGCAGATTAGTAGTTGGGTGGGTGACCACCAGCGAATCCCTGCTGTTGTATGTTTCTGTTGCATTTTTGCTCCTTTTGTCTGTCACATCTCCTCGGGATGAGTTTTGAGTATCCTTTTTAGAAGACTATTCGAATGGAGAGGACTAAGATATTGGCTTGGTCTCTCGAAAGTAAAATGAAATAGGAAGGATCTGAATTCGATGCGTATTAACAAAAAATCGAAACAACTCTGCGAATCCTAACCTTTCCGCCCCTTCACAATTTCTCCAATTCTTTAACATATAAATCCATCGTTGCAGATGTTCGAACCGCCCCTTTAATGTGATATTCCATGCTCTGGGGTAAGTTAGTCGGTCGTTGCTCCACCATTATCAACACCTACCCTTGAAATCTGTACAGGTCGACTTTATCTCCCGCTTGACAAGAAAATCTAACAGAACCCATTTTAAATGGCTTTCCTGCCCTATCTCTAATAGTCCTGAGCGTATTATACAAAGATATGCACAAGTCCAGTTAGTGGAAATAGCCACATAACGTGCAATTATATTATTTTCCAACCAAAAATTAGCCGAGGGGGCTGTCTAGCCTATATCAAATACACCTCACCTCTCTCTGAATAGTAAGGACGGAATAAAACGATCTGAATCCCTCTGCGCCAAGGCATGCATATTCACTCCAGAGGTCCCCAAAACCTACATCTCTCCTATCCAACCCTTCAATCCTAGATCACAGCCATAGCCCAAGTCCCCATGCGCGAACTTATTTCCTTCTCGCACAGCCCCACGCCCATATGGACAAAATAATGATTCAGCCTCTACAATGGGAAAATTGGATGGCACGTTGTTAGCTCCATTCTTCTTGTATGAATGGCTGCGTTCAAGATTCGTATTTTGGTTTCGTGTCTATGATGAAAATAGGGTTAACTAACTAGCAAAGCGATGAGGATAGCCTTGCTCTCTTCGCCCGCAAAAGTTGGAATCATGTATATATATGTATATATGGGATGATGAATGTGTAAAAGTAAGACCTTGTATATTGAATTATACATAGATAAAAATCGGTTTGCAGATAGATGTATGTATATCTATTATGATCTGATATACAAAACCGTTTCACCATTTTTCTATCCCAGCCCTATAGTTCACACTGGGCACTTAATATTCGTGATGCCGATGGCCTAGACATAAGATCAAAAATTAGCATACATATACGATATGACTTCATATACTTGGTTGGATATGATTTCCAAAAGCCCAGATAAGAGAAGTGCAAAAAGGAAATCCTACAAAACACAAGTAACACACGTGTTCTATAAACATGAATTTGAAATTCCGCTGCTGGGGAATATATGGACCTATATATGGCATTTTTGATAAAACTACACTACTTCCAGGTATCTCGCATAGCCTTTCATGGCTTGAAAAGAAATACTACCGCCTACCCATACAATGCCGACCCAGTCCATTCTATTTGTCTTTGAATTCCTGCGAGTAAATCTTCTGCCAAAGATCCATCCACTTTTGCTGTTGTGCTGTAAGGGGTTTTCCAGGTGTTTTGAAAGACTTAGTTAATATATCCCTAAGTCGAGCTCGCATGGTTTTTATAGCGAGCATTGTTTTCCAATCCGATACGGCAAATCTAGCTCTATTGCCATCTAGTATGAAAACACCGGCATACATCTAGCGTAGGATCAGTAATTTATCATCAAATCAGACCAAAATAGAACTCACGTCGCATCGAACATCTCCACAAAGAAGAGCAATTGAAAATTCTTCTACAGCTGTTGTTTCATGGGCGTTGTAAAATCTACCTAAACTTAGTGACTGTAAAAATTAATATTACCAGAAGATGACTTACTGCTTCGCCTGCATGATATGATAGTATGAAAGCCATTTAAGGTTATGCTGACCTTTATTTACGGAAGTAGGATGTAGGCTAATGGATTGATTATTGGCGCAGTTGCGGAAGCCCTTGCCATCCCGGATAAGAAGCTTTGGATAGAAACTCCAACCAATGACAGACGAAACTATGATATCATTATCGCTATTTGCGTTGATTCGGTAGGGCATTTCAAAAAATTGTCGACGGCGACTGGAGTAACGTGTCCTTCACTAATTAGACTATTTTCAGGGAACGAATAGGATAACATACCTATTTAGAGCCGTCCTTTCAGCCTCTGTGAGAGGCAGGAATCCAGAATCGACAAGACAAACCACCAATTGTCCCTTTAAATCCTCAATATTCGACAGGGTTTGCTGGCTAAGGAAGTTCTTGCGACAGAATTGATATTCAGAGCTATTGGCAATGCAAACTTTTTTCCAGGCTAGGTACGCGTTATAAACAGTCAAAAGATCAGAATCACCTCTTCTAAAGGCAAGCCTAACAGTATCTGCTTGTTGCCGTTGTCCGAAAGGGGCTGAGAAGGGAGATTTTGAGGATAAAATTGCAGCAATTGTGACAACTGCATCGAGACATTTAAAAACGCTACCTAGAAGCATAAGTTTTCCCAGGAAGACATCAAGTGGTAATTTTGCTAATTGAATACCCAATGGCGTTAAATCTTCCGCTGCCGTCAGTGCCCTAACATCTATGAGCGCATCAATGGCACGCCGAATATTTTTCGTGGACGGAGGATCAAGCGCCTCG